AAATAAATATGAGAATATCCTATGTGTCCTATTGAGGATGCAGAAATATGTATATTATATTTGGTAAATAGATTTAGCCTAGAAGAGTCAATTCTCTGAAACCAGGTATTACCCCTTATTTATTTGGTTTCTGTTGAGGAAAACAATGAGCTATAGGAAGTGTTTTTGACCCATGTTTTCAGTTTTAAGCTGTAGAGTAAGTTGTTTGTGGTCTGTTGCTTTTTTAATAGTTTGCACTGCTGCAAACAGTTTCTTCATAACTATATTGTATTGTACAACGTTTCCAATTCTAAACTCAGAATATTGATTGGGATTAAGAGATAAATTATTGAATTAAGTACAGGCTAAAATTCTAGTCTTTTTTAAGGTCCATTTTTAATTTTTCAGAATTAAAACTAAAAATCACTGTAGCGGGGGAATAAGTGGTTGTGAGTTCCCTGATGTGGGTGCTGAGAATTGAAATCAAGTCCTCCGGAAGAGCAGACAGTACACTTAACAGCTGAGCCATCTTTTTAGCCCTACAATTCTAATTTCTGTGGGGACAACAAAGAAGATATATTTAATGTTTTCTGGGTTGTTAATTCTGATGTCAATTAGGCATGTATATTTAAAATAGCTTATGTTATATTTTCTACTCTACCACCATCTTAGAGGAAAGCTATACCTTCGAGGTATGGTAAGTGAATGCAGATGACAGGAGGATAATAGAGTTGAAAAGACTAAGGGTGTTGAAATGTGTTTTTTGAATATTTACTGTGAGTCCTTGTGGAGCTGAGTATTTATGTGTCATCTGATAATTATCACTAATCCTATAATGTTGTCGGATGTTACTGTATTTATAAGGGGACCAAGTCATAGAGGAGTTAGGAGACCTAGCCAACATCATGCGCTAACAGACTCTGAAATGGCAGTTCGGGTCTAGAGACAGCCGTTGATCATGATCAGATAAGCCACGAAGGTGAATAGAATTGGGATTCCATTTGTACCTCCTGCAAAAATTTCATTCTGCAAAGGTCATTCAACTAGACTGTGATTGTTACTATAGAGTGTCCATAAAGGCAGACACGTGCTTTTAGCCCTTTCCATTTCCTGAGCACAGTTCCTAGTGAATCTCACACTGGAAAGTCACAATAGAAAAATCAAGTTCTTTTCTTTACATACATTCCATGTGCTCTGAGAAGCATTCAAAAGCCAAGAGAAACCTTTTTTTTGAACTTTACTCTGGTTGCTTGGTAATCATTCAAACCCACAGTCTCTGTGGCTCTCTGGAATATTGTTTGACTCCGGGAGAGAATTTGTGAATTGCGATTGGACAGCTGAGTGGTAAGTGTCCAGAGAACAAGAATCTGCAGGAAAGCAGACTAAAAGTGTGCAGGAGCTTTATGCTTTGCTGTGTAAGTCGAGAATGACTCTTGTTTATATAAAATGAAGAGATTTAATTATCACTGCCTATTTTTCAGGTTCTTTTCAGTTGTAAAATATGTGAGGCAGCTGCTTTCTGTCTTCCTGTGTGTCTGCATGCATTCTCCGTGGCCAGCACTGTTCAGTGTGAGTGAGGACACTGGCATGTGCTGCAGTCCCCTCTTAGCCCTGGGAAACTCTGTTGTTATTACAAAGCAAGACGATTTTATATATGATACTCTGCATATTCTCTACTTAAAATGTGAAGAAATGGCAAGCTCTTAAGACTTGAGTAGCTTTCCCTTTATGATTCCTCAGCAAAAAGGAGCATGTTTTAAAGTTTCCGTTTTTATAATAGAAATCTTAATCCAGATATTGAAATTACTTACAAGATATAAAACACATTTTAATACTTAAATTGACTTCTGCCAAGATTTATCCAATTTAGAAAAATTCAGAAAATTGCAACATATCACTGCATAAGGAAAGGTACAAGCAAGAAATAAAAAATGATATTGGGTGAACATTTTAGACTAAGATGTAATCTGGTAGAGTGCTAATCTACGGTCTACCCCAAATGCTCGTTCTGGTGGTCTGCCTGGCCATGCTTTGCTTGCCCATTGATGTGCACTAATAGTGCACAGCTGAGTGCTTACGGGGAACCTCTGCAGCTATTCATCTTTGCTCTTTGTTTTCCATTTTCAGTAGTATCTCGTGCCCTGTACCGTGTTTGATCTTTGTGGAATCTTAGTGCCTTCCTTTCAACTCATGCATTCCTCTGGTCTCACTCTGGGTTTTCCATCTATACTCAGCAGTCTTAAAGACTCCTCAAGATATTAGACAATAAATGTAATACCAACCTTGTTTTTCACTTCTCAGGAATCAGCTCTTTATTACCTGATATCCTGCTATACATAAAAAATACGTACTTGATATGTTTAGTCCAGTTCTTTGGCTCTTCTTAGGCAGGAAAGTTAATCTGTGTCTTCTACTCCATTTTGACCAGAAATAAAGAATGAAGCACCTACTTCATACCTGGGATGTTTTGGAGGGATGAAAAAGTGTGTGTGTGTGTGTGTGTGTGTGTGTGTGTGTGTGTATGTATGTGTGTGTATGTATGATGGAATTATGTTATAATCCCAACAAATAAATAATTTTTAAATATTAAAAATAATTCTCCTTGGATCATTTTAGAGTACAGCTTTACAAATTATTCTGCTCATGTTGAAAGGTCTTGGTGTTCTCAACAGTAGAGAATTAGAGAAATGGTTTTGTAGTCAAATAACTGAGAAAAAGTCACAGCATCATTGGGTGTGTTCAGAACACCTTTCCTGAGACTCATGCCATGTCATTGTGTTTATGACTGTTCATACAACACCTTTTACTATCATTCTAAGTGTATCACTTGTATTTCTTGTTTGTTCTTTGACTATCTAATTTGTAGCTTTTGACTCCAGAATTTTCAACAAGTTTTCATGGTATTTGTGTAGCAGTATTGTCCCTTCTTTGATACCTGTATGGATTGGGTCAAGGCATAAATGAGCAAAGCAAATCTGTGCCCATCCTTAAAGATCTTAGTATAGGTTGTGGTACAGCTTAAAACATAGATGTTATCATTGACAAAAGGCTTAAGGAAAGTAGCAGTAAGCCCTTTATGGGCTCCTACACTGTTAGTTTCTTTATGTTGGCACTTGAAAGGAAGTGAAGGGAGCAAGATTTAAAGCAGGTAAGAAAGTTGGTAAGTCACAGTTGAGAATCAACTTGTCAATTTAATTTCAAAATCTATACTCTTTTGCTCTTATACTACATATGGAAAAATAGTTTTGTGAAGAAAAATAGGCTTAATTTTATTTTGAATTTAACCATGTTTCAAATAATGCTGGATGTTCTTATTTAAATTTATTTTATTTCCTTGAACAACTCAGTTTCTTCTCCAGGCTTAGTAGTGTAGTCCTAGAATATCAGGTCTTAGGAAACTGAAGAAGGAGGATGAATTCAGGGCCAACCTGGGCTACATAATGACACTCTTGTCTCAAAATGAGAAAAAAGACAGAGACAGAGAGGGAAAAGAGATGAGAGACAGAATGAGCTAGATTATGCCTCCTTTTCAGTACTTAAGGTTCCCACTTTAAGTGTAACATTTTTCTAATGGACCTAAAATTTGATTAACCTTCAAAGCTTTAACTTGTGAATTCTTGATATTTCCTAAATTTTAAACTTATTTTGATGTTTCTGTTTTACCTACAAAAGCAATTCTCTCCAAACTCCAAAGAAAAAAAGAGACAAAATGAAAGAGTATGCTTACTGTGTGGCTTTGTGTGCTGGTCCTTTTAGCCTGAGCTGAATAATCAAGGATATATTTTCTTAAATACGTCAGTACTAAAATATTGTTAGCATCATTATATTTTTCTTAGGCTTGATAGTGAGTCTCTTTTGATTTTTCTCTATCTTTTTCGGAGTCCATCCCACTGTGTGTAACTCC